TTTGTATGAAGACTAACCGTAAAAGATTATCCAACAGTCTTATTTTAAGGCAAGTAATTTGATATTTTCCTTGGTTGATTATTTTATTGAAAGTCAGTTTTAAGTCTACAGAAATTGCAGGTAATTAGCGGGGCCTATGAAATAAAGTTACGGTATCTATCATACCCTGCAAACTGGTCACTAGACTTCTCAAAGACTTTAAAATTCCATACTGAAACAGTTTCTTCACAGCAGCCAGGATGGATTGTATGGCCCCCAGTTGAAAGTCTTTTAAGTTTGGATTCTATAGACTTTCTTTTCTTTAAGACTAGTTTTGGGTACACAGAAAAATTCAAGGCAGGTACAGCGATTTCCCACATACACACCTCCTCCCAGTGCCAACACCCTGGCACCAGGTGGTACATTTGTTGTAACTGATTAACCTACTTGGACACACCCCGATCACCCAGCGTTCTCCTCTGAAGTTTACATTAGGACTCACTCTTGTGCTGTGTGCACTCCATAGGCTTGGACACCCTCACCATGCTCCACCTACTCATCCTCCCACGCCCCCAGCCTGCACTGATCTTTTCATGGCCTCCACACTTGGCAGTCAGCACTGAGATCCAAACAGATAAAGGGATTACCGCCAGGTCACACGGATTCCTTCTGGTTTGTGTTCCGGCTCACTTTTCGCTCTCCTTGGCTGTGATGACTTTCTTTTGTTAGAATGTAATCACAGACTAAGATGTGGTGATTTGCTGTAACAAAATTATTAAACATTTTGAGATTTATCTCTCGGGCTTATAAATGCAATTGAATGGAGAGGACAGCTGCCCATCTTCCGTGTTCCCGGGTGCCATCTGTCTTTCCTTCTGTTTGTCTGTCATTGGGCATTAGGGAAATGATAGTTTATTTAAAAATAGGTTTCTTATGGTTGAGTACAGGAGCCAAATTTTTTAGTTAGCTTTTATGGAAAATACTAAAACTTGGGGCCACAGCCCTATTTTTCTCTCTTATCATATATGATCACTGGAGGGGGAAAAAGATCCACTTGAAACCAGTATATGTGGTGACATATATGCACTGAGAAACATGGGTCGCTCCTAAGTGATTACTGATAGATTAAATATCAAGGGAAAAGTGTACTTTTTTATCAATAATTTAAGCTAATTCAAATGATAAAAGACTTCTATTTAAAGTGCTCTTAGTGTTCAAGATCCTTAATCTAAACAAGAAAAATGATTTTTCTTTTTTCATTGCCCTGCTGTCCTGTGTGGTTGTTTTTGTTTTTTGTTTTTCTTTTCTTTTTATGCTGGGTAATGTTTTCGTTATAGAATTGAAACTGATAAGCCTGATCCTCCCCGGGTATGCAATTCAGGTTCCCCCAGTGAGGAGCTGCTTCTGTAAACCTGGGAGTTTATTAGAAATTAAGCAGTTGCCACTGGAGAATGGTAAGGAGACCTCGGCTGAAAGCCAGCAAGGAAAGAAGAGTTATTATTTCTGTGGCAGTGTTTGTGAAACTGGTCAGGAGTGAGGAGTTGCCTCTAACACAATTGAGCTGTGAGGGACAAATATGAATAATCATATGTTGTCTTAGAGCCACAAACTGATAATTTTTTTATTATGCACTGTGCAAAGGAGCCTGTTTGCACACATCTTGAAAACGAGATCGTGATTATTTCTTAGTAAGTTTTGAAGGTCTTCCAACCAAAATTTTGTAATAAAATTTCAGTTTTATTGAAGCTTAAATTACAAAAACACATCTGATTCACATACAGCTCATCACATCTCATTTTTACCAACTTTGGTTTTAAGTCTTGTTTTTTTCCTTGAATGAATTACATGAACATCCTTCCTTGTCATTACTAAAAAGAATTTCTCATAATGTTTTACAGCAACTTTGATTTTAGACCGAGAGCTTTTAGATCAGTTTAAATGGATTCTTCCACAATATGGTGACCTTTGCACTTTAGAAATGCCATGTATTTCACTTCATAAAGTTAATATACGGACTTTTCTATTGCTTCAGGCAAATTTGGTAAACCTCAGACAACCTCTGATTCGCAAAACATATATATATATATATATATATATATATATATATATATATATATACATACATGTTTATATATGTGAATGCCTCCAAAAATAATACACAACCCACTGTTACTTTTTTCCACACATAACTAAATGTGGCCATTAGTCTGTACCCTTTATCTTGATGTTTTGCCAGAAGTTCTTCATGTGTTACTTCCTTTAAACAATAAAGTTCGGTTCAAAAGACAGAACAAATATAAAGCTTTCTTTAAAAATGCTTTAAAAAGTCCGAGTTGTGTTAAGTGTTTCAGCCGTTGTATTTTGATACCCTAAGAAGCTTTATTTTGAGAAGTCATTAACTTGTGGTTTGGCCCGGACTCCTGTAAGGTCACGGCGCTGCAGGCTGCTTATCTCTAGCTCGCCTGCCCCCTGGGACCCGCGGCGTGTGCAGGAGAAAGGAGCGAGATCGCAGCCGGATTACATGGAGCCCACGGGGGCTGCACCACTCCAAGAAAACAACAGATTTTAAGAGGCCGAGTCACAGAGCAGGGCCCTGACAGGCCCCCTGAGCAGACTGGACGCCCCCCAGGCCCACCGCCTCCGCGGAGCCGCCCCCGCCGCCCGGCCCTGCCCAGGGCTGCGCGCCGCGGCCGGCCCAGGTAACCCGCTGTCGGGGGACAGGTGCCTGTCATTGGCCCCCCGAATCACAGCTTCATGGATTTCTTTGAAAATGGTTTTCCTTCCAGCCCGGCCGCTGGGCAGCGTTCCCCAGCGTTCCCCAGCGCCTCTCCCCTGCCAGAGGCTGCGCCGCGCACCTGGCACCTGGCACCTGGCGCCTGGCCCGGGTCGGGCTTGAGGAACGCGCGGCCCCGGCGGCCGCCGCCTGCGCACCTCGCCAAGCTGCGGTCGGGCCTCCTGGGCGGGTTCCCTGCTGTAACCCGGCGCGGCCGCAGGCTCTCCTGCTCCCACACCCACGCTCCCAGCAGGCCTTTCTTCGGAGCTGGGTCCCCGGGACACTGGGTGCAACAGCGAAACTGCAAGAAGCAAACCCAGCTCCCCAGGAGGTTCTGCAAGGGCCCCCCCTCTCTTCCTCCTTTCACCCCACTGGGGTCTTGAGGACCTCGGCTGTGCAGGACAGAGCTGCTGCTGGGAGGGCGGGGAACCGCTGAGCTAGCGCCTGAGAAACCCTGGTTGGGGGTCACCCCCAGACTCAATGGAGCCTTTTGATAGTTCTCTGGGCAAGCTACTCCTGAACGCCTCAAGAGAGTTCTAGAGTCGGTACAAGCACGAGGGTTACAGTTCCAGCGACACTGATGATGTTAGTATCTTTCCCTAACTGTGCGTATTAATCTTGTATTTAAAACAACAAACAAAACAACCCCCCGCCCCCAAAAAAGCCTGTGTTCTGTCTGCTACCCTAGGCAATCTTATTTTAGGCATAAAATTAAAACATGCCTACATCTTCATTTTGGGGAAGGATAAAATTACATGAAAATGAAATTTATAGGAAAAATCCAGGAAGTAAGATCATTTAATTTTGAGAATTTGAGTAGTGCATTAGATTTAACTACCACTGATAGGGGGCCAGTCTCAAGACTTCTCTGATACAGTGAACTTTTTAAAATAGAACTAAGAAGCTTGTTTCTAGTTAATGAAATGTTAGAATTATAGAACCACATAAAAACAAGTTCTTCTTTTCAATGCTTTTGAAACTTACACTAATAAGGACTGGGCTAGACAGTATTAGCTGCATTTTTACAAACATTTAGCTCTTTGAAACTGGCTCTACTGAGAATGGTGTCCATATATTGTTTCTGTGTAGTAAGATGGTTTAATGTCTTAGTCTTTTAATTTTTTTTTTTTACTCATTGATTCACTGGCAAAATTCACTTCATAAAAAAGTGCAAATGTAATACTAGACATTGCCTTGTAAATAATCAACAATTGCAAACCAGTAGTATCTAAATGAATGAAGGGCTTCATTTACTAACTTTAGTTAAAAAACATTTTTAAATCATGTGTCAATAGTCAATTAATTTGCCCTAGGAAAATCTAATAGCTACCTCACATCTACAAGAACATAAGATTGAAATGAAAAGGTATGTTCATTTGTGTATTTTTAAACAATTTTTACAACAGAAAAAAAAAAAAAAACCCAAATCACCTTGCACAGCCTTTTAATTGAAGTTAGATTACTATATGTAGTGCCCAGAGATTCAGATGTTGAGTCTTCTATATTTCTCTGCCTGAATGAGAGCAGGTGATAGTTTTGCCATTTGGATTTTTTCATCAGCCTTCATGCTCACATTTACTTATATGCACCTCAGGACACACAATGAGAAAGAAGAAACCCAAACCCAGTACACATTAAACTTCTGTGCAGATTAGTGAGGCCCAGGTAATTTGCAACCTGATTTCTCTCTGACAGTCATTATAGGTCAGGGTGATAAACTTACAACCTTGCTTATAGAAGACTGCCCCTGTTAGAAGATAGTCCATCTTAAAGGAAACAAATGCTAAGGGTGCTGACAACTGTTTATTCAATAGCATTATAAAGCCATCAGGCTCCAGAGAGTTCGCTGATTAAATTTCATTATAACCTTAATTTCTCTGACTGAATCACTTTATTAAATTTTTCTCCTGGCTCCTGGAGAACAGGGCAGGAAGACAGATTAAATTCTGATACCTTATGCTATTCATTAGGCTTGGCAGAGTTTCTTAAAACATTTAAATGATAGTAAAGATAGATTGCAGGCTCCTGCTTACCCTCACATCTTAGCATAGACCTTTTCTGCCAATTAGGAGTCATTGCATTTGTGTATGAAACATGGCTTCTGATATTAAAAAATGAATCTGATTCAGATCCTCCAGGTTTAGAAAAGATTGTTGGAATTTGAGGGTTGGGTAAATAGTTTTATTCTAACTACTTTTCTAATTGAGTAAACATGAGGTTTTCCAAAAAGCTAGAAAAAAACTACTGTAAATTTGAGACAGGATATTTTTTTATTGTGAAAGACAAGCAAATGTCACACTTAATTGAATTCTCCCTGAATATTTTCTTTCCTCTGCTGTAGAAACCCTCCCACTAGCAATAACCCTTGAAAATGGTGTGCATGTTCATGAAGGACTATTTGAGTTACTCTTAAAAAAATAACTCAGACAAGTTTTTCGGCCATTTGGAGTTTCTGGGTTTTTGTGGGTTTTTTTAATCTTAAGCATTGCTATTCACATTGTATTCACTGTGGAAGAACTGATCATGTCCAATACAAATAACAACAGTACCATAAAACTTATGTAGCACAAATTCTAAAATATGTCAGGGCATGAAAAGCTTTTGTATTCTCTTAAATTCTAGCTGTGGCCCATTACTCGTTCATTGGTTCCTTCATTCATTCACTCCTTTATTTTGTTGGCAAAGCACTGCCGCTGCCTCTTGCCCCGGGTGCTGGCCACACAAGGTGAATGAGTCAAAGACCCATCCCTCCAGGAGCCACCAGCTTCCAAAGGCCTGGTCCTTTTGGTTGTTTTCTTTTTGTTTTCATCAACATCTCTCACCCTAAAAAGGATGAAACACCACTGTTGTGAGTTTACAACATGAGATTTTATGTTTCTGTAGGTCACTGCTGTCTCTTACCTTTCTAGAAGTCTCGCAACAAGCATAGCCTGAAGAAGTGCAATAAATTTGTTGAAAATAAGATCCTAGTGAGATCTGCACGTGAGCAAGCTGAGGAGACCCCTCAGGGTCACTGAGTACCTCAGAGTAGAAACAGGGGTAACTTCCTTAGTGTCAATTTGGAAAACGATATTTATAGCATATTTGTCAGTGTCATAGAAATGCAAGAATTTGGAAAAACATTCTGTTTCTGTGAAATCAGAATGGCAAGCGTAGCAGCTCAGTTTAATGGTCTTATATGCCAAGGTGACTACCTGGAAATAATTTCTATTTCTCTCTACAGAAGTAAAATCACATGAGAAGTGTCTGTCATTCTAAGGTGTATTACATTTTCCTACATCCTGATATTCACCTAGATTAGCATGCCTCGCAGTAAGTCGCTGGTACTTTTTGAAGTATTCACTGGATTTCCAGAAGTTTACGTCTGTTAAAATACCCTTTCTGGGCCTCCCTCGTGGCATAGGCGGTTGAGTGCAGCGCTGTGAAGCTGTCTGCAGCCTCTGCAGTGCCAGTTCGATCCCTGCTGGCCTTGGAGCAACCCACATAGTATGGCAGACCTCTCCTGTCTCACCCGCTGCTCCTCTCAGCAGTGTATTTCAGTAGATCTGCCTGTTCTGCTCCCCACTCTGTCTCTGATGAATCCTCTCACCCTTCCACACATCTGGCCTGTACCCCAGTTCTTGTATAAATAAAATAAATCTTAAAAAAAAATACCCTTTCTGGACAAATGCTGGATGATTTCACTCACATGTGGAATATAAAAAACAAAGCAAGGGAACTGATCAAAACCACCTCCTGAAATTTGACAGCAAAACTGAGGCTACCAGAGAGGGGAGGCAACAAAAAGAGGGGGCTCGCTGAACTGTGGTGGGAGATTAGGGGGGGTTGGGGAGGAGTTGCGCAGTGTGAGAAAGTACATTTGTTGAGGCGTGGACCTGTACACCTAAACCATACAGTGTTGTAAACCAGCATTACCTCCAGAAACATAATGTAAGAATAACCATTTCTGAATTGTTTTTTTCACTACTTATGATTAATAGCATTGTATTGGTTGGGAAATAAAGGAAATTGTTATTGAAATGAACTTAACTAAAACTGACAGGTCCTTAGGAATATTTAGGTTGATAAAAGTTATGAAAAACTTGAGGATGCCTTCCTCCCTGGAGAATGCAAAATGGCTAAGAACATGGGCTCTGGAACACCCCAGACCCTGAGTTTAAATCCTGCCTCCACCTGCTCCTCAGTGTGAGACTTTTGGCGAGTTCAACTCTGTGCCTCCATTTCTCATCTACATGACGGGGTAATGATGGTACCCAGCTCACAGCATTATTGCAAGGTTGGAAAGAGAACAGTGGGGCTGGTGCCGGTGACATGACAAGGTTCTTCCCTCACCTGTCATCATCGCTATCTGGAAATCAGCATTCAGCGAAACACTTTCAGTGACAGATTGATCTACCACTCTTGGTCACCTTCTCCTTTTGCTTGCCTTGGGGAGGGTGCACTCACTGCCGACGTCCTCGAGCTTTGTCCCCTCAGCGGCTGTCTCCGTGCATGCTGGGGGACCGCGGCCTCCTGCTCCGTCCGGGCACACAGGTGAAAGGGGAGCGGAGAAACAACAGACCTGACCGACCTGGGTTCATCAGAACATTATGGCAAAATAAAACCGAGGTGTTTGTTTCCACTTGAGATTTGCCAGGCTGGCACCTTCAGCTGCAGAGAAGGGCAGAGCTCCTGTGGGCAGCTCGCTGTGTCACCCCACTTGCTGGGAATGAGTCACAGCAGCGAAGGCAAAAAGTTTCTTGAAATAAAATGACCACTCTATTTATAAGGTATTCTAGAACGAAGTTTAAGTGTTATGAGCGTAGTTAGGATAGAATTAGAATATTGCTTTTAATTCCTTTTTTCTCCCCCTTGTATTTTCTGAAAAGAGGGGACTGGCAAGGTTGATAATGAACTAGAACGAAACGGAAGGCTGAGGTAACCGCACCGTAGTGTTCATGCCCTCATGAAAGCGCCGTCTCCTTGCGTGTGATAAACCGGAGAGTGAATTAGGAAACTCCCTGTGTTTTCCTCTGTGAAAGCGGCGTCGGATGGCCTGCTCCTAGTCCTCCTTTGATTTTCATGTGTTCCAGGAAACAGGCTGCAGGATGTGTGGAAACGTGCTTTGTGAGGCTCATCCTCCCACTCCCTAGATGATGCCGGTGACACCAACCAGGGAAAAGAGGGTTTCTGGTCTGTGTCTCCTGGGCTTCAGGGCCCATGGCGCGGTGGTGCCCCCTTGCCATGGGGCAGCGTCTCCTGCTGTCTCTGGGGAATGTTCCCTGACAAATTGATGGGCTGAGTAGATCATCCTGGAAGCCACCGTCATGAGCCTGATTGATGGTGGATGCTTTGGCTTCAGTAAACAGTCGCCAAGATGTTTTTGGTGACAAAAGGCAACACTGTTCTTTCCAGTGGTTGGAAGAGCTCAGAATCCTTTGTCAGAAGAGTCAGCGGAACACAGGACAAAAACACTTTAGTCCTTGCTTATGGAGAGACTGAGCGAATCATGTAGTTTAAAATGTTTCCCCCTTATTTAGTTTGCGTGCTGTCATGGGAAATCATACCCTAACCCACTACGGAACAAAAAACGTTGGATGAGCAGAACCCATTGTTTATAGAGTGTCAGAGCTCCCCTCTGCCTGAGTAGGTGCCACAGACAGGCTTTATAATGTGATGAAAAGGCAGAAGAGAGAGGCGTTGTGGCATATAACAAGTGAACATTTTTAAAGGCCCTTTAAATGTGCTTTTTTGTAAACTTTTATATAATTTTATGATTTAGTGAATTTCTAGAAAGTGGAAGTCATCGTACTCACATGGCTGAGCACGGTGGCTGCACGCGGGGGACCAGGGGCCACTCTGACTGGGGTCCAGCCCTGGTCAGTCCCTTTCTGACTGTGCGGCAGTGGGCGTGCTCCTCGGTCTCTCTGGAAAGTTGTCCTTGGTGTAGAACGTGCACGAAAGGTCAGGCCCCATCTCAGCGGCTGCCATGGGCTCTGGAGGAGGTCACCTGCCCCACGTGTCCGGCTGTTTGGCTCTGTGGTCACATTCTGCATCACCGTTCCCCTAAGATTCATCTACCACCCAGCAGGGAGACCGCACTTGAGAAACGTGATGCCATCAGGGAGACATCATGTTTCCCCGTGAATTGGGATTATCTTGGATATGAGGGTAGGGCTGAGGGGAGCGGAAATGTTGGCGAATTTAAGAGAAAAGCAGCCACACAATGGACATCCTCACTGTGCAAAAGGAGGAAAGGCCTGTCCTCACCTGGGGCGCCAGGTCTGGAGGAGGAGATCTAGCACGTAGGAGAGCTGGAGAGTTGTGAAAGTGCTGAGGAGAAATTCATGAGAGAATAATGTCACTGGAGCTGGAACAGATGGCGGGAACCGAGTCTTTATAAATGGAATTGGAGCTGCCTGGAGAGAGGAGAGGGAGCGGGCAGGGCTGGCGGCTGAGGCTGGTGACACGATCGAAACTCTGGAGGACGGAGCGTGGCTTTTAGGGGCTCCTGAGAGGCCCGGGTCCCTGGAAGAAGGGGCCGGCTTCAGTGAGCACACAGCGGGTGCCTGGAGGCAAAGGCTTCGAACCTGGTGTGTCAGAAAGAGACGGGGAGCCTTCCTGTCTTATCTTCAGTCCCGGGTGCCGGAGAGAGTACTGCAGAGGCGGGTCTGGCGGCAGCGCGGACGGGGTTGGTGGGGGCGGCCGTGAGACACGTCAGGGGGACATCAGGGTGACGGCTGCATGCCAAGGAAAGGGGGCGCCCCGGGCCTTCCTATGACGGCAGAGGGGCTGCCCTTTCCCTACGGGGGACCCCATCTCTGCTCGGCCCCCACCCTCCCTCTCAGAAACCCGCCACTCCCGCGTGCCCCTTCCTGCGTGTGCCGCCGTCCTGCCCTGGCCCGTCGGCTCCGCCGCGTTTCCTTCCCTGGGGCCCGTGTTGCTCCACCAGGCGGCCTCCCCACAAACGCCGTCTGTGCTTGCTCGCCCCCTCTCCGCACCGCCGGGCCGCTCGCTGCACCCCACTCCGGCGGCCTCCTGACCTGCCGAGCCCCCAGAACCCTCCCGCGCCGGCCCCTCACCACGTGCCGTCCTCGGCTCCCGGGCTCCGCCGCCCTCGGGTTCCTCCTCCCCGGCGTCGGGGCGCGGCTCCTGGACGCGGGTCCCGCGCAGTCTCTTGCAGTGGGGGGATCCCCAGGGCGAGGTCCCGGCCCTCCTCCTCCTCCTCCTCCTCCTGGTGTCTTGGGGTCTCGCCCAGACCGACTCCCCGGGGCCTGCGTCTTCGCCCCGGGTCCCCGTCGCGCTGTCCCCAGGGGCTCCCGTCCAGGCCGCTTCCCCGAGAGCCCGTTCTGTCCGGCTCCTCGGAACGTTCCAGAAGCCCCGCCGCGCCCGGGCCCAGCAAGCTCGTCTTCGGTGTCGGCCTTTCTCAGCGGCTCCCGCTCAGTGAGCGGCGCCCCGACACCCCCTCTCCGCTCTCCGCCTCCGCCTCCCCAGGCCTTGGTCGCGTCCCCCCATTTCCAAAGGGCCTCCCCACCCGGGCTCCCTCCAGGCCCTTCCGCGCCTCAGCGCTGGGCTTTCCAGGCCCCGCCGGGCCCCTTCCCGGAGCCCTGACACGACCCCGGCCTCCCTGCTCTCTGGCTCGCCACCGTGGACGCCGGGGCCCCCTCACGCGGCCGCCGCCTGTCCTCAGCCCCCTGGCTCAAGGCCCCCCACCCCCCGCGCCGGCCTCGTCCTCTGTGGCGTCCCCAGGCCGTCCCGAGCCTGGCCCGTGCTTCCCTCTCGGCTCAGAACCTCCGTGCCAGGGGAGCCCCCCGCCTGCTCCCTCAGAGGGGCCCCTTGCAGGCTCCCCGGCGCCGCCCTGGCCTGCGTCCAAGAGTGTCCAAGGCCGGGGCGCCCCGGAGCAGGGTTTTCGGGGCGCCCCGGAGCGGGGTTTTCGCTGGTCTCGGGGAGGGCGGGTGCTGGGAGTCGTCAGCCCCTCGGCCCGCCCAGAGCAGCTCCAGGCCGGACGCCGCTCTCAGGAACGCCTCCCGCGCCCGGCCACAGAAAATGGAAAGTGTCTCGTGCCCAGACGCCGGGCGGGAGGGTCCAGGCCCCCCAGGCCCCCGCCGGCGCCCCAGCGAGCTGCAGGACTGACGGGGAGCACCCCCCACCCCGCCCTCAGCCGCCTCCCCGCCAGGGGCAGCGCTCAGCCCCGCTGACCACGCTGACCACGCCGTCCTCGAAAGCCCCGGCTCCCCGGGCATCGCCTGCGCCAGGGTTTCGTTTCTCCACTCGCTCCTCGGCCCTCCGAGACCCTCCCGGCTCCTCTTCCCGCCCCAGCCGGGCCCGCGGCTCCCGCGCCGCCGAGGGGTCAGCCTGAAGCCGCGGGCATCACCAGGAGGCCGCCAGGAGCACCCCCAGCGCCCGGAGTCCTGTCCCCACCGCCGCCCCCTTGTCTGCTGTTGCCAGAGCTCCAGGAGGCCCTGAGAGCCCGTGTTCCTCTTGCTTTTGTGCCTCCGGACCCCAGACCACCCCCCACCCCCCACCTCCCCAGCTGTCAGCCGCTCCCACTGCCCATGTGCTGGGAGCCCGGCTGGTCTCGGAAGTGGGTCGAGTCTGGCAGCCAGGCCAGCCGGCTTCCCCCGGGCTGACTCCCTCAGAGCTGGGGCCTCTGTACCCGCCGGCGGCCTGGCACAGAGTGGACCTATATAAATATCTGGCTAACTAAGCGAGTCGTCCTTTTGATACCGTAACTGCAGGCTTTCAGGCCTAGTCTCCCAGCCAGGAACAGAGCCCAGGCTGCCTGGGCAGCACTGAGCCCCAGACTAGACCCCACGGGTTGGTGTCTCATGCAGCCGCAGCAGGAACTACGCAGACGCTCAGGCAAGCAAGCGAAAGGAGGCAGATTTGTTTAGAGAAAGAAGTTTATTGAGGAGAAAAGTCTCTCATTCTCTCCGTGGTTGCTTAGTTCTCGGTGGTCTCACTCCTCTGCCTTCCTGTCTCTGTGCCCAGAATTAAGACTCTGTGTCCCAGCCCTTGGCTTAGCATACTTTTCTGTATCATCCTTGGTGGAATGTCCTGTTGCCCCTCGCCCTGGGGTGTTTGGTTAGTTCCCTTTGGAATTTGTGGCCCTTATCTCTGGAGCTTCCCTTATTTCTCTGAGGAGTTTCCTATTCTATTTTGACCCTAAGAGCTCTCTGCTTGGCCTGTGACTCACGGTATCTGTTCAGTGGTGCATATAAATACAACCAAGTAGCACACATGCTCAGTGGGAGTATCACTGGGTAAGCTCTCCTTCTTGGGATCAGGCCTGCTGATAGTTGAAAAGTAAAATGTCATAGAGTTTATTGCATAAATAACCTTGATCAACTCCCAGTGTGCTTTTGCTGTCTTACAGAAGTTATGTCTCCTTGTCACACCCTCCTAAAATGGATTTCTAGTCTTGACAAGGCAGTAAAATGTGTTTCCATACTTTCAAATGATGTATCTGCCCTGAAAACTTTGGGGGTATTTGCTTTCTTATGGTGCTCTTTTCCCCCCTCCAGATTTGCAAGAGAAGATGGTCTTATACCAACCAAGACGTGTGTGTTCTAAAGCTTGCAATACTATTTTTATGAGCTGTTATGAAAGCCAAGCTTCAGGGCAAAGCAAGGAAGCACTAGAGGAAAAGCTGTTTTATGCATTTCCAGCTGCAGAAAGTAGTAACACTTGATGTGGGAGTGCTGTATTCACTCTAGAATTTCTCCCCTAGAGGGATAATAGGACATTACTTTTTCGACTTTCAAAGGGTATTACAAATATTCTCTCCCAACTGGAACACCACATCTGACCTCGTTCTGCTCTCACTCAGCCAAGTGTTTTCTTTAATGTGATAAGAATTACCGATGATCTAGTTGGTGACATAATTTCTGATAAAGTTTGCGGGCAGATTGGGAAATCAATCGTTATGTGTTTTTGCTGGGATTGCCAGAGGTGAAAGAGAATTAAAAGTTAAAGTGTCTGCTTTGACAGGTGCTAGATTCTGAAATGTATTATTACATTGGAAATAAGAACCATAGCTCGAACTAAATAAGCTCTTCCCTGGATTAAGAACAGTGTTAAAAGCGTGGGCCCCAGGGATCCATGATGGGTTTGCTCTTCTAAAATATTTTAAAGATGGGCTAGAAAAAAGAGTGAGGAGAGGCTCTTAGGTCTTCTGGGTAAGAAAGTAGAGTTGATTGGCACAAGCTGAAAGAAAGTTCCAGAACATTATGTGAGTTGGCAGATGAGGAGCAGATGGGACCTCATTTTCCATCAATTCAGCTTATAAGTAGTTCCTCTTTTTCTACCTGACGAAATACTGTGATTGTTCCTTTGAAGGGGCTGTATAATTTCTTATTTCTTATCCCACTAAGCTATTTGGTTTTTAAATGTACACTTCCACTCTTCATGTGCAAACATAATATATATGCATGCATAAATTATTCATGTGTTTAAAAATCTTCACAGATTTTAGTTTATGGTCTCTCTTTTGCTTTCATTCCTGGCCCCCCCACCCTTTCCCAATACCTGTCTTGTTTTTAGTCAGGTCACTTTGTAGAAATGATATGGTAGGAAATGATTAAAATAATGATAACTTTATTAAAATATATGGTGAAACTTATTGTGTTCTTTTTAGATGAAAAGGCCACATGGGAGCTTTATTTTTTTTAATTATTAATTGCTTAGTTAACACAAAGAGTTGAAATCTACTCACATTTATATCTTTTTGGGCTGTCTAGGAGGTGGGATCATCTGGGAGGTGGGCTCTTGAATGGCATTGGTGTGTCTTGGGTTATACTCTTGTTTGCTGTCTGCTCTTACCGCTGAAATGGTGGCATACATCTTGGTAAATTTAGCTTATTCACCTTTTGAAATATTCTACAAAGTAATGAATCATTTGTTTAATGCTCATGTTTTATTCTTAATTCAGTTCAAATTAGTTAAGGAGTTTATGTTAAATATTCACAATAAGGAAGATTTTTTTTCCTCCATGGTTAATTTACGAGCAAGATATGAATTTTTATGAAGGCCTCTGAAAAATTAAAATTGCTTAGGTTCCATAAAAATGTTTAAATTTCATGTGTTTCATAGACTTCTGGGTTAGCTGTCAACAATAACTTAGGTCTGACCTATTAAACAGTCCTACGAGTAATTATTTTCCTCTTGTAGACATTACCCTGCATTTTGAATCTTGAACTGAGCATTTCTTCTTTTAATTTATTCCTCCTTGAGTGTTCCTTGATATTTTTCTGACCTGATTTAGAATCTCTATCCTGTTGCTGTTTTGCAAGGACCAAATTTAGTAAGAAACCATTTATTTGCAAGATAAATTGGCCTAGAGGACTAAGACTAACACCAGCAGATTTACTTTCTCATGTTTAAATAAAGTACTCATTTCACATGAAGTATCACATTTTACTCTCAGACATGATTTATCCAAATCGGGAGAAGAAACTAAAAAAAGGATTATTCAAATTTTAGTTCTGTAGGGAAAGTAATGCTGTTAGTTCTCTCACTTGGATTCCCAAAGTGCTAGCTTAAACCAAACCAAGCAACAGCACCAAAGAAGGTGCTATTTACATTTATATTCCAACAAGGCAGTGATAGCTGCCCCACAGCTAGCAGCCTCCATCTACTGGGTCCATAGTAGCTATCGTCAGCTTGGTGCTTGGGACACACAGATAACTAAAACACTCTTGCTGCCCTCAAAGCGCCCTCAGTCTGATGT